ATCATTATCGCTGTATACACTGCAGCTTGTTAAGGGCTACCACCTCCTGCCGCCCAGTGGCCCGGGGTCCGGCAGGAGAATGGTACACCGCATTTACCTTTCCCTTCATAGGTAGCAGCCAAACTTCGGAAGGTGAGGCCTCCTCACAGCCAAATACCATGGTCTTGAGGCACATCCTTGCACCTGCCGCTGGTACAACCTAACGTTGCTTTCTGAAGTCTCAAGAAACAAGCTCCAAATGCAGCAGCCAAGCTTCCAAAAGTGAGGCTTTGTGAGAGGCAAACACCAAGGCCCCTGGTGTTTGCTGTTCCTCTGATGCGCGTGCATTTTGAAGGGAGTGGCCCAGTAAGCCATGCCAAAAAAATACCTAATCAATAACAACTTGTCCTGTGAAGGGGATTCCGTGATGCAGGTGAGGAATGAACTTTCATAAGAGGAGTTGTTGCTCAACATGGGTTCCGCGAAAGATAAACATAGAGTTTGCGAAAGATTCGCGAGAGAAAAGTGTTATTTGCGAAGAATGGCCCTTCCCGGATAAAGGAATTTTGATCAACCGCCATAAATATATATTAATATATATATATATATACTAGACCGTACTAGACTATACTAGACCATACTAGACTATGGGGCTGGAGGGCAGCCGAAGCAAAAAACCGTTGAAGACATGATTTCAGGTATAGTTAGGGCATTAGCTACAGGACCTCAACCTAAACCTATAGTTATAGGATGTTATGGTACAAGTAGGTTTCAACATAAAGCATTAGCAATATCTACAACTAGATCTCAACCTAAACCTAAAGCCATAGGCACGAGTAGGTTTCAACCTACAGCTATTAGCTAGAACTAGAAGTAGATTTCAACCTACAGCTAGCACAAAATTAAACCATTGCTGAAGCTAGGGCTAGGCTAAAATCTAAAGTTTGAGTAGGAGCAAGGTAGTGCTGTAGCTAGGACTAGAATTCGAATTCAAACTAGGACAAGATCAAACTATAACTCTAGTTGGAAATAGAATTCAGTGAACAAATTAAAACTAGAGAACTATTTCAAGAAGAAACTGAAGAAGAAAAAAAAGTAGAATTATAACACAAAATGAGCCAGGAGATACTGTGGAACTGGGATTCAACCGAAGGTGTAGCAAGCCTCAACCGAAAGGCTATGCCCAGCCAGGGCAACGCAAGCAAAGCAAAATCCGTGCAGAAGCAATCTATAGGTGAAGCTAAAGTTATCACAAAATGTATCGCAAGAACATCCACAAGACACGCCGGCAGGCCCATCCTGATTTATCTTGGCAACAAACCCGTGATTTCATGTGGTTTTGATCAATGATAGTTGGACAGGGTCACCTTTGAGCCTTATTTTGAATCCCAGTGTTCCATCGAAGTCTATGGAAGTCTTGTTGTTTCTTGTATGGCCTCATGGCCATCATGTTGCAGAAACCATCCCAGAAATCGCAGGTGTGTTCAGTAACACTTATATGATATCATTTAAATTCATTTAACAAACCATAATAACCCACGTATAATTTTAGTATATCTCACTAATTAATCTAACTGGGTTGTAACATGGTTATCAGCCACTTGCTGACTGATATGCAAATCCTTGTGGTTTCATGCACGTTTGTGCTCAACTCTATGTGTTTGATGGTCCAAATTGTCTAATATGGGTTGAAACCGTTGAAACCACGAACCACTTCATTCAAGTTGGTGAACCAAACTCATTTGCGATAGGTTGGAATGTCCCCCACCATTTTTGCACCCTCGAGTTCACACCATGTTCCATTGGGTCTGTTTGGTACCATGGGCTATATCCCAAAATTGCAGTTCCAATAAGAAAATATGGAAAAATATGATCCTCCCCGCCCCAGGTTTTTCTGTTTTTAATCAGTGTTTTGGAGGATGTGTTATCTGAACAGAGTCCGCAGAAATCCAATCTCAGGAAGTGCAAAATTCACACATCATCTCCAGGTTCTGTCCACTCAGTGGTCCAGATTCCGGTTTCTTTTTGCCACAGGAGGAATTCGAAGAATGCGTTGATTGGGATGAGGTGGAGGAGGACTTTGCGAATCGACTAGAACATAGGGTTACAAATGGAGGTTTCCTAAAATGGGAATACTCCCAAATCATCCAAGTCAGACCATCTTAGTATTGAAAGCCATGGTGACTTGGGGTATCCCCCGTTATCCCCCATTTGTTGGAGATGCTGAACGCAACTGCTCTTGGCTCGGCTCAATCGCAATCACTAGACCCATGACATCACGTGTGTTGAAGTCATACATGTCATGAATATATAGAAAAGAATCCCATGGATATATGTATAATCATGTACATATATATAATATATATATATATACATATATATATATGGTCATTTAAATTGTCTTATTTTAATAAGTGCATATCAGACATATCGTGAATCATGTAAATGCCTTTGGCACACGTTCCAACGCCATATCGCGCGGTTCACCGTTGCTGCAGCGCCATGTCGAGTGATGTCAGGTGGCAGGACGCTGTACAGCAGCTTCAAGACTCCTGGACAAGAGTTGGCTATGTCTGATGGGGTATACCCAAACGGCCAAATGGCCATTGAAATGGGGAACGTGATGATAATCCATTGGAATTGGAAGCCAACCAAAAAGGACACACCAAGTTGTGATGGGCAATCTTGGGTTTGAGCGTATTTTGACCACATTGATTTTGCTATGTTTTCTGGGAGCAAAAGAATGCCATTCATAGGGGCATCCCTGCACCGATATAGGAATTGAACTAAGATCCAACTTGGAGAGTTCTGGAAATCCCATACTCCAGTCCCACCAGAAAGTGGTCTGAGTATTTCCCAACACACATGGGGAATCATGGGGATGATTTTAGGTACAGAGCTGGAATATCAGTACTTGGCTGATACTCCGGGTCAGTGGCTGTTATATATTTCAACCAGGCTGAATAGGATTATATATACTATTATATACATCTATACTGTATATACAGGTTCCGCAAGGAATAACCACAACAATAAGCAAAGGAAGTAACATTTTGAATCATTTTGATACCTAATTCTGCCAGGCACAACGAAAATTGATGCGACCCCCCCGGGAAGCTCCACCGCAGCTGATTGACTTAATGCCCTGACTGTATAATGTGGTGAATCCAATAATCAACCGACCATTTGGGTATGATTTTTACCAAATACAATGTACAATAGCATGGTAGTATTGTGGATTATTACTTGGTTTGTCACATTACCTACCGTAGGGAGTGTCCCAAATGAGCTGTTAAATTGTGGGAATCCCATGTTCCAAGTGGGTTGTTGCCAGTTATTTAACAGCTACGACTTGAGGGCACATCCAACTGATCCAGGGGTGGGAGTCATAGGATAGCACTTTTTCCAGAGAACGAAGACATCCAGGGCTTCAAAAGCCATTTCTGACACTTCCTGAACCACCAAGACCTGAGGATATCTTCAAGACCGTCGGCATGCAGGCTGGACTTCACTGGGAAGCTCTCAATTTGCCAATGGTTCATTCTGAACCTCTGGATCAACTGAGACATGTGGCCCGCAACTCATGTCCTGGGATTGAAGTTGGTTAGCAACTTCGGACACTCCCGGCAAGATCATGTTGTGTTATGAGTCATGGCTGTCCCTCTACTGGGTATAGCATGGTATAGCCAATGGATGCCAATGGTATTGACTACCCCGATTTGACCATGCTCTCAATTGGCAGGTGGGAACTCCAAAAAAAAGGTTCCAACAGATTCCAGACAATCACTACAAATCCATGTCACCATCCGTCACATGTGTCTCCAACTAAGCTGGCTGTGTACATGCCACTTACTGTCCACCTCATCATCCTCTTCGGCGCAGGCCTCCCAAGTGGCCATGGTCCAGACAGTGACCTGTTGCTGCAAGGCCTTCCAATGGCAACAGGCCCTGCTGCTTGCCATGCTGCTGGAAGCGACCAGTGCTTTGGTAGCCAATGTGTTCCCAACATGGGTCTTCCCAAACTATTGTAATCTATTGTATATATAGTGGCTACGAATATACGTGTATATATATAATATCATTATATTATGTATAATATCATTAAATTATAGTTTATATATATAATATTATTATATATAATATCATTATATTATATAATATATCATTATATATATATATACATGTAGCTGGTTATAAACACATAAGATGTTTTATCAGCGATACTTGTGTTCCGACCCGTGGGGGATTCGGTGGTGTGTCCCCTATCCACATAGGGAGTTGGGCCTGGCGTGCCATGGATCGATGATTTTGGTGGTCAACTGAGGCACCCAAGCAGTCATCTCCTACAACTCCATCATCAGTGCTTGTGGCAAGAGCTGCTCAGTTTGAAAAGGATCTCAGTGCTGTCAACCATATGCCTAGAGCGTAAAGAAGACCTGTTCGAAATGAGCAAAATGTGAAGAAACATCACAAACAAAGATTAAGGATAAGGTAACACCTACTGTTCACCCTCAAACATGTTGCCACCCTATTTGTTTAAGCGTGACTACTCGGCTCAGGTGAGTCAAGGTATGTCAAGATATGGACATTTAACGTACTGGCACTGGCAAGTACGCGCCAGTACTACGTATACTGACCATACACCTTGCATACTTGTTTGGACTGGTCTTTGCGAGTTGGGGTCCAGTGGGCTTTTGAGTTGAATGATTGTACAGCCGCCAAATTGGATCACCATGTTTTGGTCCTCGAAATGCTCCAGATTGCTGGACAGAAAACAGAACCTAAAGATCATTCGCGGAAGAGAATCAATGGTTCCCAGAATCATTGCTTGAAACTGAAAATATGACTCGGATTTACTCGGAATCATAATAGTACGAATTATTCAAAAGAATGATAATGTAATATACATATACCAGTTCATTTTTAGGTATGTCAAGATATGTCAAGCCATTTGGCTGGGTGCTTCGGCCCAGCATGGCGTTTTCCAGGCAGCGACTGGCATCAAAGTCTCAGCTGTTTTCAGCGGATTACAGAACTGGGTGTGGCCACGGTGGTCACTTATGGTGCCACGGATGGGGTGTGGGTCCTGGTGATAGGATTTACCCAACAAAAATGCTGGCATCATGTGAACATGTTGCTATAAAACTTTGGAGTATACCATTGTAATCCATTATATATGTAAGATGATTTGGTATGAAACCATTTTTTATGCTAGTAATTCTGGGGAATCCTTCTCTTGATGGAAAACACACATGGAAAGACTCCCTGGAAATCCGTAAACCGACCCTGTGATACTAACCTTTCCATGTTTGTAAGCCACTTCCATGTGGTTCGTGTTCCCAGAGGTCTCCAAGCCTTGCAGGCACATCAGGCACGTTCAGGCTGTGAGATTCCAAGGTAAACCATGTCTAGGTGGACATCCTGTGACGATCGACGAAAGATGAGGTAAGTGAAAATTGATCAAGATAGTCCACAATGATGATTCAATAATGCAATCTGAAAAACACCCAGAGTTCAAATGAATGCCAACAGCCTTCAATCGAGCCATGCTGAATTGGCAACCAACCTCTTCACTCCAATCTTGGGCCAAATGGCTGGCCCGCTGTAGGTAGCCCATGTTGGTTCGCCATGGTCATTCAAGGTGTCTGAAAAAATAGAGTACCTGTGAAATGTGATTAGTCATACTTTTCCCATTGAATGTAGTTTTTTTTGGGGGGAAAAACCCGATTCTCAGACACAACACCCGTACTTAGGAAAACATGTCGAATTATAACGACCTCACTGTTCTCAGTCGCTGGAATGGTGATTGGTAGGGGCAACTATCCCCAGTGGTGTCCTGATACTTCAGGTCGGTGAATGATTTTTTCATCTACCGGGATACGTTTCCGTCATTTTGGAGGCATCCAATCTGCCGGTTTTTCCTGATCCAATGGGTCCAATGACCTCGAAGCGCTAGGTGCCATGATGGCTGTGATGGCAGGCACGAGTCTGCCGTGGCACATGGCTTTCTCGCTGATGGCTGAAATGGAGGTGTCTGCGGATGGCTGCGGGCAGGGGACGTGACGGACCTGACGGACCTGACGGGATCAAAATTGAAGGCCGGGCCTGCAGATTATGGACTATGGCTCTTGAGTAAACTATGAATGCTTGGCAACTTGGGATGCCAGGTTAGATATGTTTAGATTACATATAGACTACATATAATGATATATAATCATATAATATATATTTTTTTTTTTGACCCAAAAGATACAAGCAATAAACGTATATTAGTAACAAGGAGATCTCTTTGGCCGATTTTCACCCTAAGCTTTTCGGACCCAAATAGTTCAGGGTTTGGGGGTTGTTATATAAATATCGATGAATATCGAAATAAATTATCTTATATTGTCCTTGTCAACAAATCCTGGATGCTTCCACCCAGCTACCCTCCAGCCATCATCTAGGCAAACAATCAAGATTTGCGTTAAGTTACGCATGAGCTTGTCAGGATTGCGCCGTTTGTATGACACCAGAAACACCAGAAAGTGTGGCCAATTGTTGATCGACCATTTGCAGCACACACCTTGAAGTTGTCATTTTGCTCATGGAAATGTCCAAGTGCAAACATGAACCCTAAGGTACCAAAGAGTCTTTGGGTTTCCCCTTTGTGCGCATATGTCAATGGAGTTTCCCGGTGTCTGAGGCCAAAAATGATGTCTTCAAATCAATCGATTCGTTTCTACATCCCAATTACAGCTAAGATTCTGAATATTTCAGAACCATTTATTGGTTCAATCACCAACCAAGCGGTAACCAAGACATCCTCAAAGCGGGTGGATTTTTGCCCAAAAAACAGAGACAGGTATAGGTCAAAATCATGGTTCTATTCTTGTTGTTTTGCCCCAGTTGTAAAAGTTTGTTTATAACTCCTAGTTATTACCCCCATTCACTAGTCCTATAGAAAATGATATAATACCCAACAACGAGTGATACCAGCAATTCACTAGAAATACCATTCACTAGCAATTCACCAGAAATACCAAAAAAACAACCATTGGACTTATTTGTTCACCAACTTGGCAAACTCTTCCGCCACAGTTTTGGCTCCGCCAGGCACAAAAGATTGTTTGCAATCTGATCATCTACAATGCCTTGATCAATGTGGCTCCTCGCTTCAACGGTAAGGTTTTTAAGCCTGGTAAGTGATATAGGGATCTTAACAAAACATGGTGGTTTACAACCAACCATAATGGGGATTTAGATATGATGTAATATGATGGAATAATGTGGATATGCAATTTCAACAGTATGATATTTTGGTCTGAAAATTGGAGGATGTTCAACCTTGCCTTTCTTGAAAATCCAGAGCGATCACAGACAGATTTTCGCCTGGCAGCAGGGAAGAGGGGATGCCGGCAGTGAAATCCCCCGCATTGGCGAGTGATTGTCTGGTTCTACCAGCGTTTCGGAAAAATGCAGCTTGGTTGGTAATGAGTGGAAAGGAAAAGCGTCCATAGACCTGATTTCTAATTTGGACATGTGTTTATTTCTATGACGCTCATGATACTTATTATACAGTATACATCATGATTATTGTAAGTACTCTTCCATCTCCAGTGTATTACAATAGGTACGGTATTATCATGATAATATCATGATAATATATTACTATGGTTATTGCCATTTTCATTATCACTACTTCTTAGCTATTATTTTTGACATGGCCTCCACCCACCAACAGTGGGCGATGAAGGTTGATTGGAAACCGCTACTCTTCAGAACAGGATCGTAGAAAAAAGGGTCACTGACAACGTGGGTGAAGGCTATGTACAAGTTATTGTTATTGCTATCATCCTATTGTTTTAATCACGATTTGAACTACGTATTCCAAGTTATTGCTACTATTGCCAGTATTGTCCAAGTTATTGCTATTACTCTAATTGTATGAGTATTATAGTAACCAAAAAGATCCAAAAAGATAGAAACGTAATAATCACCATTTTAGTAGGATTTTACTATATTTTACTGTTATACCTTTTTGGAGGTTACTATATGGGTTAGTCTGAAAATGGGGTACCCCTAAATCCATTCGTTGAAAAAATCATTATCCGTATACGTATTCATAAATAGCCATTTGGAGGTATACTGTTTTCAGACACATCCAAAAATCATATTATATATACCCTGATTCTCAGGCATATATATATATATACGTGTATATATATGCACCATATATGGTTGGTGAGTTATATCCCAATTATATCCCAAGCCCAGATACCATGGTTCCACTGGGACTGCTGAACGTGGCCAAGGTTGGCAAGGCCGAGCAGTGGCAACTTGCTGTGGTCCCTTTGGCATTTCGGTGTTGCGTTTTCGGGGAGAAAGACTTAGTAGAAGGGGGGTATCCTATATATATGTATACAGCATACACATGCATACGATACACGTATATTATATATTGTATATATATATATAATTGTGTATATAATTGTATATATATATATGTAATTACATAGTGTATACAAAGGTCATATATTATATGATTTAATATGCCCACTCCCATACTTAGAGCAGTTTCTGTCACCCAGAGACTTCATAGATTACTTTCATGTTTCACTCCCATCCTTGGAGTAATTCTTGTAATCCATGAACTTTAAAGTCACCTTAAAGTCCCAGTGGATTCAAGATTCAAGATCTCCCCAAGCACTTTTTTCCTCTCGAATCTAGGATTCCAGACTCAAGATTTGGAAAGGGTTTCTCTTCAAATCAGTGCAGGATTGAAGATTCAAGATCCCACTTCTGGCAGAATCTTTTGAATCCAGTGGCCGGGAGGCCTTCACCTTTCGTGGCGGTCTGTAGCATACCTGGTAGCTGTATGGCAATCGATGGCACCTCTCATCACTTCCCTTGTATGGAAATGCGCCGATGTAAGCTGAACAAGGCTTTGTACGACACTTTCTGGGCATAGCTGGCTACAATTGATGTCCCAGAGTTTACATGGCACTGCAACAAAACGGTATCCAGAAATCTCACTGTGATCATCTGTGATCCAATTTTCATCCATTTTCTAAGTCGAATGGCATCTCAACTTTCTCTGTCTCAAACCATAGCAACTCAAGTTTTCATCACGTCCTGGACCTTGCCGCAACACATCCGGCGGTGCTCGATAGTTTTGTGATACCGGACCCAAAACACCCTGCAAAGCTTTTCCAAAACCTCGAAAACAAACAAAAATACTGCAAACGCCAGTGAAAGACACCCGAAACATGTTTTTGTGGGTTGCCTGGAGTCTCCACTACCCTTCGTTTTTGGGGTCGTTTGCAAAACACATCTTTTTTGGGTACGTTTGATACTTTTTGAGGTCTTTTCATGCAAAAAAGGCCTTTTGTCTTCCAAGCAGGTGCTGGCTATATACACTCAGCAGTACTAAGCTAAATCATGTGAGCGTTTTGTGCTTGTCCTGTCTGATGTTGGATCAGGCACCCTCACACATCATTCAGACCCAGGTGCATAACTAAAGCTTCATGGCTGAACAGCTTTGGATCCACAATTCGTGTCGAAATATAAAACCTTCGCCTGCTTTTTATAATGAGCTGCGGGGGCAAACATTTGCACATTGCGACACTTATGCCGAACATACACGGGATTTGAGCACATCCACTCGCCCTGATCTTGTGGCGCAAGCTGCTGAAACAGTTTTGACGGATGGACGGACGGACGTGAAAAAAAGGTGCGTTTTTTGAAAAAAAGGTCCTTTTGGTTCGGACGGGTCCAAACTGGACGGATATTTCCGTACTCTGGACGCATTTTTCCGTACTTTCGGACGCCGTCCGGACGGCCCTCAGCAAAAAAAGGTACGTTTGAAGGGAAAAATGCCTTTGCATGTTTGCGTTGTATGGGCAAATCTTCCAAGGACAAGTTGTCACCAAAATTGAGCAATGCACCCGCATGTCCGCAACTGAGTGCTGAGACCTACCCTCATGCGTGCAATAATGAAGGAGCAAAGCGCGTCCAAAAATCAAAGCAAGGAAGATCGAAACCATGGCATCAAACACGTAAACGAGAACCAATACTTGGAAATCTTTGCTCCTGCACATTCAAGCAGCCAAAACGAAATGGCACCTGCAACAATGAGTTGCAAGTTGGCAATGTGGCACATTTATTTGATTTCCACAGTTTCAGCTGTACCTCCATGAGTGAACATCACTAACATGCAAAAAACAGTACTTGATTAACTTGATTTCAAAAAAATACTTTCGGAAAAATGCATTTTTTCTTGAAAGACACCAAAAATTAAGGGTCGTTGGAGAGCCAAGGTATATATAGAGGATCATATCGGCATCTATACATCGTAAATTGTATTGACAATTATTTACATCTGACGTATATACATGCGTGTGTGTGTGTGTGTGTGTGTCAGTGTGTGTGTGTGTGTCGGACATATATACATAATATGTAATTTAGATATACGCGTAAAATACCTTACACATGTTTACATATTTTCAAATATGCATTGTACTGTGCATATATATATATATACATATATATATATATACATGAATGTGCAGTGGATAAACCGTAGTTGATGGTAATCGTGTAAGTGGGATTTGTGTTTTGCGATAGGAGAAATGATAAGGTCTGCATAATTAAAGCTCCTTGCAAAGTATCTCAGATTGGCAGACTGGCCATGTCGCATGCCCTCAAAGTCGAGCATGCTGCTGGATGTCTGAGATTCCCAAACGTTTCGGATATCCGTATTATGTACGGGAATTTTTGCACGACATCAAACCACAGTTGTTGTTCCTTTCTTAGATCGAACCTGGTCTACAAAAACTTGATCCCATTGCGAAATATTGCGAACTGGGTGAGCAACATAGAATGAGATACCTCAGAGTGGAGCCGGTCCTGCCGTTAAAAATGTATAAAAAGCTGGATGGTTCACAAGTAGATGGCTTATGGCTGTTTCAGGTTTCAAATCCTCATGAAACTAAACTCAACCTTACCTGAGATGGTTTTGGCAGCGGAATGTGTTGATTTTTGGTGGATGCTTTGAGATAAGTACACCATGCCATGGGTCAATATGGAGCAATACCTTGCCATGGGACGGTCCAAATTCTCTCAGGAGTTGCTGGCGGAACTTCCAATGAGACGGCTGGAAGCGAATGCAGTGAGCTTTAGTTCCGCACCTTGCATCAGTGAGGGGAGGATGAAACATGTTTTTTTCTGCGTGTTTCATGTTGTTAATGGTCCCGCATTCCCACAGTTCTTGGCGCGTGAAATTGTAAAGTGAACCCAGAATCATGGCTCATTGGTTCTAATGATGGGCCGCCACCAGATATAACCTTGTTTTAAGACTTCTAAGACATTCGAAGTATCACCTGGCAACTGGAGTTTGAGTCAAAGCTGGTTGACCGGAAATGGAAATCCATCTCCAAATTTGATTCAACAAAGATTTCATTTTTGTGGAATTATGATTGCAGCATATTGCAGGCCGATACTACGAGTTTCTTATTACTTGGGATACTCGTGACTGTCTTGGGATAGTCTTATGATGTCTTATGATTTATGAGCCACTTACTAGGACAATTGCCCTCGGCTGAGTATCATTGTATGTTAACATCTATACTACGTGCATGAAACCTGCGACACCATTTCTTTCATATTTAAATGAATCTATTGCTTATATAAGCTTTAATTCCCATTGCACCCTTAATGCATCACCACTTTCATCAGTATATCACACAAAATTCCCCATGAATAGGTTACCTTGTTGGTTGGTATTCCCTATATCTATATATATATATGTCTTGGTAAATTATAACAACCTCACTCCGACCTCACTGGAATGTTGGTTAGTAAGGGGAATCATCCCAATATAGCACTGGTTTAGGTTAGTGAACTATTATAATTTACCCAGATTTATTTATATATAAGTTATGCATTTTCCCACTATATATCTCTGGATCAACCTTGGTTAGATACTTTAGTACTCTAATCTTTTGCTGTCAATGGTAAAATGTCCTAACCAGCCAAAGAAATTTAAAACGCATATGTATTTTTGGCAGGTATCTAAGGTTCGTGTATGTATATATATAATGGAATGTATGTACTTATGTATGTATGTGTATGTATGTGTATGTATGTGTATGTATGTGTATGTATGTGTATGTATGTGTATGTATGTATCTATGTATGTATCTATGTATCTATCTATGTATCTATCTATGTATCTATCTATGTATGTATGTATTGTAATGTAATGTAATGTCATGTCATGTCATGTCATGTATGTATGTATGTGTGTAATGTATGTATGTATGTATGTATGTATGTATGTATGTATGTATGTATGTATGTATTTATGTATGTATGTATGTATTTTGTAATGTAATGCAATGTTATGTTATGTATGTATGGTATGGTATGGTATGGTATGGTATGTAGGTATGGTATGGTATGGTGTGGTATGGTATGGTTTGGTATGGTGTGGTGTGGTATGGTATTGTATGTATGTATGTATGTGTATGTATGTATGTGTATGTATGTGTATGTATGTGTATGTATGTGTATGTATGTGTATGTATGTGTATGTATGTGTATGTATGTGTATGTATGTGTATGTATGTGTATGTATGTGTATGTATGTGTATGTATGTGTATGTATGTGTATGTATGTATGTATGTGTATGTATGTGTATCTATGTATCTATGTATCTATGTATCTATGTATCTATGTATCTATGTATCTATGTATCTATGTATCTATCTATGTATCTATCTATGTATCTATCTATGTATCTATCTATGTATCTATCTATGTATCTATCTATGTATGTATCTATGTATGCATGTATGTATGTATGTATGTCTATACGTGTTTTAAATATACGTATAATATGTTGTCAATTTGCAATTTGCAAGCCATGGCGCTCCCATTCAAGCCATCTCCCAGGCCATTACGGCCTGCGAACGAGCTTTTGCCTGGGAAGCTGCCCTGCAGATGCTGGGATCGTCGGAGGGAGTTGGTTGGAGGGGATGGATACGCAGGGGGTTTCCAAGGAGGTTTCCATAGTCATGGGGGTACCCCAATAGCTTGATGATTTATGTTTTTTAAACTCTGTTTAAACTTGATGATTTAGGGGTACCCCTATTTTCAGATAAAGCCACATGGTCCAGGTATTTGGATAAATTACGACGACCTCATGTCACGACGTCACTGGAAATGATGGCGCATGTAAGGGTAAGGCCTTTTTCGGCTTAGTGAATTGGTATCATTATGATGACTGGGATGACTGGTTTGTTCCCCTTATTATTACTATTTTTATATCTTTCTTTGGGATTATAATCATTGTTACAATTATCCAAATGTATGGTGTATGCATTTACACCAACATAAGATGGTGGTAAATGTGAGCTAAGAATGTTCATATGATGATAACAACAATACTATCCAACTGATCAATGATGCTGGAGAAAAAAAAGTACCCTTTGCTCATCAAACATGGCTGGATTGAACATATTCCATTGGATGATGTTCCCATTCAAAAGCAAGTTTATAGGAAGATACTGGGGATTCCCAGCTGGAGCGGGACAAATCCGGTTGAGTTCGGCCAACAAATGTACCAGTATATAAGTTTTTCTTGTGGTTTCCATAAGATGGGGATATATCATGATATATCCTGCAAAAGTGGACATATCAAACCAGATGAATCCATTGGTTGAAACAGCTGAAACAATATGGCAATATAGGTTCGGCAATGGCGGTTGTGGGAGATACCGCAAGACTGGGCCTAAAGTCAATGTTGATGTTTGTTTATAAAAGCAGAATGTTTATTTTCAAATTGTGGTTGGCTAATGGTTTCAAAGGACATTATTAAACATATGCAAAGGAATTTGTTGATATTGTGAATACAGATAGATGATCGACGTCATTTGATTTTGCATGGCGGTTGGGGCATGGGATTCAATGTGTTTGTGGCCCACAAACAAGTTGCAAAATACGGAACACGGGAATACTTTTTGATAAAGGCGATGACTGACCCGCAGATGACGGTCTCATTCCCATTTTTTCATTCCTATTTGGACTAGCGCGTTGCTTTCCAAACATGTTGTGTTTCTTTTGAAACATACAGAGATTATTCCTTTCGTGGTCGGAGGAAGCCCAAGATCACAATACCTGGTCTCATTTGCTAAGATATATCTGGTTATCACATGTTATCGCAAGAGATATGAGATGGTTATATTCGTATCAATATGTATCAGTATGTATCAATATGTATCAATATGTATCAATATGTATCAATGTGTATCAACATGCATCAATATGTTTTATTTTTACATTATACCAAATTATATCACATATCTGCTGGACAACACATATCACAATGTTAAATTTGTGTTGCGAGATGCCACGTGTTCTCCGCAGAAACACCCAGCGCCACGCCACGGTTAGGCTATTGGAAGACTCTCAGCCGAGCTGTCAAGGCCATGGTAGGGAATATGACGCAGACATTGAGCAGATATGGCAAATTGGATATATCTGGATAATCCACCTATGCAAGATTATCGCTCGAAATGCGAAACAGCAATAATTATTGTCGCCGGTTGCCTAAAATATCGCCGTTTCTAGTTTTTTTCGCCGTTTCAGTCTTCGCATTTTGGGTTCTTATTTTGTGTTCGCCGTTTCGTCGGGTTTTTTCGCTGTTCGTTGGGGTTTTGCGCCGTTTCAACACCGGCAAACACGTGCAAAGGCAGAAAAATACAAAACTTGCTCGCGGGCAGAAAAACATGTCGCCAGCAATAATTCCTGAAAAAGCAATAATTTTACATACATTGGAAGATGCAGGTGTGTATATATATATACATATTGAGCAATCTCGAAAACCCTAGGTTCACAGAAAGGACATCCACAAATTTGGGAAGGTCCCATCGCTTACCACACGTTTGTACAATCATGATATATGCTAAACTTGGGGGCATTGCTTGCAGGAAACTTCTACATTTATATAATATATATATAATTCACATCAATCAACGTCCAATTTGGGTATCGCTAATGTGGATATTAGAGAAATACAATGACATAACCTTGAAAAGGGGTATCGCTAATTTGGGAAGGTCCCATCGCTTACCGTGTGTTTTCAACAATTTCCATCAATTTCCATAAACCAATGTCCGTCCAATACATATTTAGTATTGCCGGGTTTTTTGCGGTAGCTCATATATATATATATTTATTTATTTATATTTATATTTATATTTATAATATATTAGATAGTGGTATATAATGGTGTATATATGTGTGTGTGTGTTATTTTATATTATATATATATTACTATATGTATATATATATATATTACATTATTGTATGTCTTTCATTATCAATTGTATAGATAACCTGTCACATCATTATCACTCAGTTAGATTAGTGGGATATATGTACTGATTATTAGATGTGGGTTCTTAAGCACTTACGATTTCTGGGATGCAGCCAATGCAGCCGCAAGTATATCTGCATGAATCACTTGTTTGATCTGGATTAGATTTGATTAGGGGATGTATATATGATGATGATATATGATTTTTGTATGTAATGATGTTGGCTTGTGATTCACAAACTTCCACTGGCTGATAACATGTCTTGTCATGTCTTGTCCCTGGGATTGCTTCGCCGCAGGCAACAGCTTCGTGATCAACGCGGCGATCAGCGCATGCAAATCCGCCCAGCAGTGGCCACTCGGTTGGCAGCATGAGGCAGCTGGGTGGAAAATTATCGATGGAATACCTGGTATCTACCTCCTTATCTACTGAAATGGGAATAGAAGATGCATTCACCCGTGGAAAGAGTCTGTTGTCAAACTGGAATCCATGATTTATCATGAATTCATGACATTTATCACGGACCATGGCTGGGAGCTGAGTTCGGCTTTGGTGGAATTTTCCAACTTGGAACGGGCCTTTGGCCAAGCAAAGCTCGGAACACCCCAAGCTAGTGGTTTCCTGAAAAAGGGCTACCCCAAAGCATCCAAGTCATGACCATGATTTAGTATTGAAACGGATGGTGACTTGGGGTACCCCATATAACCTCCAAATTGTGGTTTCCTTTCATTGTGTTTCTTCGACCAATGGGTAGGATGGGATTGGGGAATCTGCCTGGATGGGTACTTTAGGACTTAAATTGGTTGCATTCTTTTGCTATAAATGGTGACATATGTATAAGCCAACTAAACAAAACATGAAACATGCAGGGTATCTAAGGTTTGCCATGAATGAAGATGATTTTCAAAAAAAACGCAATACCACGAAGTCAACTTCGATTAATTCTTACATTTGCCATTCTGGTCCACTTGTTTTTGCCTGAGGTGCTATATGTACCCAAAAAATCATCCATTTATGGCAATTTCAATGGGGAACAATGTGTTTGAAAAACTAGTGGATGTTGATGGTTTTCCCACATGTTTGTCCCATTTCCCCTGAGGCAACAAGCCGTGGCCCTTCTGCGCTTCGGGGAGGCGCCTTACGCTAACCTTAGCTGCAAGGTGGGCCTTCCAATACAAACAACACCCGCGGCGAAATGGTGAAATGGTGAAATTGTTACAACGTAGGTTTAGTCAATCAAACGCCATTTAATCTGGTTGAGAGTGGTTCTGATCTGGCATATTCCCGTTCACAAACCAACTGCTGACTTCAGGGATTATCCCAGTTTATGGTTACCTATGTTACCTAAATATATTGGGTTATATGCTCTACGACTTAAGGATCCTTACAACCTGTGAATTTAGAATCACCATCGGGAAATTGTACCAGCTTAGGGAAACATGAAAATCGGGTGACCCAAAAGTGGTGGCCGGGTGGGACCACCTGATGGCGGCAGAATGTTGCCCAGAACAAAAAGCAGCTGAAGACTATGGGGTACCATCGATTCAAATCTATTTGTTTTTTGGGGTATACCGGTATACCAGTATACCCTGACAACAAAATACTTGCTACCTTGGTTCGGTTGTTTTTTATATATATATATAGATAGGCTATGTCATATCCATATGTTTCTTGCAAGGTAAGATCAGCAATTGGCAAATTTGGCAGGATGCTCCTTGGGAGTCTCACCTTCAAAGATTGGAAACTGATGGCCGCTGATGGCTTTCCAGTGGCTTCCCAGGCCGATGTGATCAGCTACAGCAGTGCCATCAGCGCCCTCTCAGAGGTTGATGTGAGGGCTCCGCAGTGGGCTCTACAGATCTGGGCGGAGATGGAGGTGCAGCCGGGATTCCATGGAAGATGCCTTCTGGAGAGCCTCTGTGGCAAAAAAAACCATGGAAAAACCAAGAAAAATTGAATGAAAACCATCAACAAGTGGCATTTGATCATGAAATCATGTTGATTTGACATGATCTTACCATCAAAAGTGTGATTGCACTCCAAACAAAACATGAAACCTGAAAGATAGCGACCCTGTTAGATGATGTTCCGCACTTGGATATGGCCCACCTGAAGATTTCCATTCTGGCTCGTGATTTCAACCAACTTACCCGAGAGGGGTTGGAGGTTTAGGCGAATTGATGGGTCGAACAGGTGGAAACATGTGGAGACCTTCCAGTTGGTTGGGTGAAACTGCACCAACCCTGGGGGCCAACCTTATGGGGATGATCTGTGATTTGGTTTCTGGGTTTCTGGGTTTCTGGGATTGTGTGTTAAAATAGAGTATCCTCAAATCACCCAAAGTGATCATCATGTTCTCCGGTAGTTTCTTCCCCTGTGAGGAGCAGCACGTGGAGCCAAATGTCATGACCTACAGCGCCCTGGTTGAAAAACAACGAGGGTCTTCGATATCCACAGGGATCTTGATGTTTTCCTCTAAAGCAGGGATCCTGTAGGGGTCTCAAGGTATTTTTGTATTTTGATAAATGTTTTCACCGGAAAATTTACCGATTACCATGGATTACGATTGATGGGAGTGGAGACCAGGATTGACCAGGGGAATTTATGAAACGTCAATTTCATATATGCTGATGTTACATAACTTTTCTCATTTCGCATCCTGGGATTCGAGATATTCAAGTCCCCAAGCCGCATCAGACAAAGGATGGCTTAAATACAATCGCTTAGATCTTTGCGCCGGTGGGGTCATGCCACCATGGCTTCCCTTAGCATGTTATAACCAGGTTTTCACCTATGGGATGATGATCCCCAATGATCATCATATTGTTAAAATTGTTGTTGTTGTCGTTGTCGTTGTCGTTGTCGTCTTGGTTGTGGTTGTGGTTGTGGTTGTGGTTGTTGTTGTTGTTGTTGCTGTTGCTGTTGCTGTTGTTGTTGCTGTTGCTGTTGCTGCTGGTGCTGTTGTTGTTGTTGTTGTTGTTTGATGTTGTTTGTATATTCCCATTATATTCCCATTATATTCCCATTATATTCCCATTATATCCTTGTCTCGACGGTATCATGAAATGGTTGGCTATATAACCCCATATTTGATCGCCCTGGGTCAGATTAAATACTCCAAAAAAACACTACCCTGGTGGAATACTCCTACTATATATCAAATCCTTCTATATCCATCAACACACGACTATTTTAAGACCCGTACATCAACATCCGAAGACATCCATGAATCCACTGATCTGAACATAAAAAAACGGTTTGTTTCCGAAACATAGGGTACTGCAAAATCCACAGGTTTATCATCAGATGCCCGCTTAAGTTGTCATTTTACCCCTCTTTCAGACACACCAATATTGGATATAGTTGGTTGTAAATATCCCCATGATATATATATATATATATATTTGTGTGATTCACCATGTTTTGTTGGTGCGACCCAGTATTTATATGTATTTATTTCATATTGACTATTTTCTGGATTAATTACAATGACCTTACTGTGACGTCACTGAATGATAGTATCATCCCCAAATGGTTTTATTATAACAGTTATTTTCAGGTTGGTGAATTAGCTAAACAATCAGCCAGATTATTTTATATATGTATATATATGCTACCCCGCCCCCGAAGACCCACCTTTTCAGATAGGAATAAGGCCACAAAAATAACATATACCCACATACACATATAAATAAAGTAGACAAAAACAACGAACAAATTAAAACAGTAGAGCCCTTTAAAGAAAAAGGATCCCTACAAAATATAGAGCATTCCTCTGAACATGAAGCGTTTCTCTCTGAAGAAATGCAGTGTTTCTTTCAGAAAATTATTCGGCCTTTGTTCAATCATACAGTATTTCTTTCAAAAATAAGAAGCACTAATTATTTCTGCAAGAGAACCACAAGTGTGGACAGATTATCAATAAATAGATCAGAATTCCTTCCTTTCATTTTTCTTGTAAGACCATTCTTAAGGAACAACTTAATTTCTTCAAAATCATTGCCTTCAAGACACGGTATTTTTTTAAACCTTAAGTAAGAAATAGTATTCTTATAGAATAAAACCATGTTTAAGGAAAGATGCAATACATCCTTTAATGAAGTTCATCCTCTCGCTCATGTTTTCTGCCTGACATCTGTTCTTAAAAGATAGACTTTACTTCTTCAAAATAATGTTGCCTGTGTTTTCAGATGTTTCACCCAAATGGAAGGTCATATTGCATACACACAACCATGACCTGTATCTTAAAAAAAAAACTACATGGACAACGGTGCATAGACGGTCGTGGCGTTTTGTGAGTTTCAATGTACTTCGGCACTGTTTGAAGTACACCGTTACAGTGGTTTTCACATGCATCCAATTTTTCTTGCTTTGACAGTGGTTATTCCATGCTAAAGTTGCAAAACATGTAGTTTTACCACAGCGAGGTGTTAATTTTCAGTTTTTTTTGATTTGACGCAACTAATTCGGTTCGGATGTTTTTTCTTCATGGCGTGGGTCACAGCAGTTCTTCGAGCTTTGCTAGAAATTTCTTGGGTGTTGTTGTTCCAAGACTTTGTCTCCCACACCATCTATATAAGTCTATGTATATATATATACAGTATATAGTCAGGAACGCTGGGGTGCATCTTGCTTTGCCCTTTATCTTTGTACTTAAGGTACATTGGCTTTGGCAAAAAGCCTTTCAAATTTTGCCAAGTTCTCTCTATATAACATTTTGTGTCCCTGCAACGGACATACCGAAGTGAAATTGTTAACTTGAGGAGTATCTGTGGAATTGCAGGAGAACGTATCCAGGGCAGCATGCGTGTGAGCAATGCACAGCGCATGACGTTATTAGCCCCACCCCACCCACCCCACCCAGCCCATGTCGAGGTATGCGCAGCTGGCATGATGCATCTGTGGAATTGCAGGAGAACGTACACTAGGCCAGCATGCGTGTGAGAACGCAAAGCTCACGACGTTATTAGCCCCACCCCACCCCACCCCCCAAACAATGTGCAAAAAACTACAAAAACACACGGCCGTCTACGTGCCGTGGGCCAAACTACATACACCACAGGTTCCTACTTCATAGAAACGTTTCTTTGTATTATTGCATGGCTTTCAATCAAATGGTTCACTCCCTTGTGAAGGAGGCTCTGCACATACTTGCACCAACACTTTCTTTCAGGAATACCAAAATCGGTTAAAATGGTTACTTAAAAAGGATTTCATTCTGTCGTAATGCTGCTGTTCTCTTTCCATAATTTCCTTTGGCTTTTCAAGAGAACTTTGCACAGAAGTAGGCCTCTTTGAACATAGTTTTACATTCAGTTCAAATAAATGCTGCAGTCCTTTATGTAAGGTGCCTGTACAGAATGATGTCACTTTACGCAAGAAATGATGTGGCTTTATGCGAGGAATGTCATGTTTGTTGAAAAATACTGCTGCACAAGGCCTATATTGGAGGATGTTGCTTTGACAATAAACTTCAAAATCCATGCCGAAACTTGTTACTTACTATTATTGTTTCTAGTCTTGGCTGTCTTGGTTGCCTTGTATTTCCTTCCATGGTTTTAAGTAACTTTCTGGGAAGGTGCTCAACCCATCAGAAAGCCAACAAAAATGCACACCTGGATGATGTCCATGAGAGGTGGCTGGGTAAACATGGTGTTTGCTTTAATCTCCATACTTGCAAGTGTGTGCTTTGCTTACCACCCCAATTTTTAGACTTATGCAATATCTTGCTGAACCTACTGCTGCTACTCTTAAAGGATGTGGATATGCATTACAACAAAACCTTGAGAAAACAAAACAAACTAAAACAACAATTGTTCAGATAATGTCTGGTCTGAAGCTCATGATTTGTCTCTTTGGTATTACATCTATATTTTTTTGTTTTGACATCTAAAAAGAACTCAAGTTTTTTTTGGATAATATGCCCTTAGCAGAACGGCCGGGCATTTGCAAGAAATTGCAATTTCTGATGGCTGACAATGCTCTAAGTACCTGGTTTCAAGATTCAAGATTCAAGGCTCAGACAAAACTTCTTGGATCCAACCTCTCTGGGTTCAAGATTCAAGATGCAAGATTCAAGGCTGAAGCCCCCTTGGATTTAAGAAGTTTTTTTTAGATCTCGAATCTTGAATCTTGAATCCGATGTAGGGAAGGTTGGGATGGCAACAAAGTTGCAAACAAAAACAATGTTTGATCCAAAAAAACAAAAACTGAGTTTTGAAGTCAGAAATGTATTTAAAAGACCCTGTAAATACCGCAAACTTTGCTTAAAGGGTGGGTCTTGAGGGGGGACCATCTGGTAAACTCCTATAATATTATTTACATCCCACGAATTTGGCGTAATGTTAGTAAAGCAATAATAAGCCACCCATATTTTGATGGTGTATACCACCCATAAACATTGTGATTTTGGGGATGCTTCCTATGGGGGACCCCCATCTCCTCAGGCGCTGTGCTCAGCCTTTTGGGCCGCGCAGCACAGTGGCAGAGCGCCCTGCAATTTTTGCGGAGCTTCCAGAGGCAGCGCTGCGATCCTTGCCGCGCATGGGAGAACTCGAAAATCCATAGAAAACCATCTAGCAATGGGAATTGAAAATGGGGATATACATGGGTGTGTCTGAAAATAGTGTACCCCTAAACCCAATGGTTAATGATCATTATCCCTATTAAATGGCTATAATTGGGAATATACCCTATTTTCAGACAAACCCACATAGTGTGTGGATGTGTTTGGGCCTATTCGTAGGTACAACGAGACAAGCATAGTGATAACTTTTATAAGTTGGCATATCGGGACCCTGTAAGCATGCTTTCTATATCTGTGTATCATTTTGTATCCACTTATATAGTGGTTTTCCCTGCTAAGTAACTTGTGTGGAGTCATATTCCAGGTACCCATTGGATAGTCCATCTTGAGGGTCCAATCAAAGCTGCAAAACAATTACGCTCTGGCCATAGATGGCTGGCTGGGAAATCCCTAATCTATATAAATAGTAGTTTTAGTGGGAAATCATCCAATTATGGCTGATTTTCCAGCCAGCCAGCCAGAGGGTAGCTGGTACTGTAGTGCGGACGTATGAACTTATATATTCTTATATATACGTACGTTTTTGTTGGCGATTAGCTTCTGGTGAGTTAACATCTATGGCCACAGGTGATTTACCTATTCAACAGCTGTGGTTTTCCATAGCTGGAAGATCCATCTGCGCCTTGAGAGGCCGGCAAATTCATCTTTTCATGTGGCCCCCTAATCAAAAAGATCTGGTGAATCTTAGACAGTGGATTGGTACTTTAGTTTCAAGTTTTAATGTATATAATATATATAATATAGTACATATATATATATATAGTAACTATATATATATATATTACGGTAATATACAGTAAATGGGTTTACCTTGAACCTCCAACTACCCATAATGAATCATAATGATGGGCATTTTAGCCGATTATTTTATTTATTTAGTACGCTTACCTATTCTTGAGTACTTGGAGGGTCCATCGATATATACTGACCAGCCAGTGTTTCAATGGCGCATCTAAGATTGGCCATGTTCTGTTGTGCACGCACCAGCGCTGTGACCCTCAACACACCCACCAATTAATTAGTTCAACAAAAACGGGCAAAGTGGCTGAAGTGAATGAGGGTCTATCGCGGATGTCTCGAAAATATGTAACCCCATTCCATCCATACCGTTGAACAATTTGAAATGGTCATGAATTGGGGAGTACCATGGTATGTATGATATATATATATATATGTATTTATTTATTTAATTGTATATCATGATTTTGAGACAAAGCAAGATGGAATTCAAAGGTCAATTGTGCTTGACAATTGAGTCGGAAATGAACACCGTGGATCCAGCTGTAGCTTCGGAAGTATGACTGGGGTATGATTTGGGGGTTAAGTACCTTCTCAGGAGTACTTGGATCCATAGATATCCATAGGCTATGGTAGATTCATGTAGATTCCTAGAGAGATCTAGAGGGGAAGAATTCATGACTTTACAAAAACATAGGTCGTAGAATCTTGTGATTTTCATCCACATTGAGGAGGACATCGTGGTGTACAACGCCGCAGTGAGCGCTTGTGAGAAGGGACCTTTGGGCGTCCAGGGAACGTGGAGGTTTAACTTCTGAAACATGGGATTGAACTGCAACAATCACCAAAAAATAGGGTTGAACCATGTTGAACCATAAAAAAAAGTTGGCGTTTTATTTTGCAAAGCGTGGGGTGAGACAAAGACAACTGAGAATTTCACGGATCAAACAAAATTGTGTAAGTCCAACTTTAAGATCCAACGTGGCAAGAGTGCAATTCTTGTTGATTAAACTGATTAAACCATGAGGTTCTCAGACTTAGGCTGAAATCCAAACCAATTCGACCACTTCGGTGAATGGTGTCCGGTGCGTCTTGGGATGATCCCAGTCTTGCGTACAACTTTGTGGATGTTTTTTCATGATTTATATGTGCAAAATATGTATAGGATATATGATGTATGCATTGTATATGTAACATATATATATATAGAGATCTGAGATATACGTACATATATGTACACAAAGTTGATACATTGTATGTATGTTGCATGCTGCTCACCCACCAGCCGTTTCGCTCCATGCCAAGGAGAGCAATGGACTTGGGCTTTGCAGTTGATCTCTGACCTGCAGGAGAAGAGACTCCAAGGCAGGGAGCGGGTATGCCAGAGAAACATATGATGACACAATGGGATATCACTGATATCACCATGGATAAAATGTGAAATGAATATCACCAGATAATAGTGGCACCGTGAAGCGGCCCCAGCCATTCTGAATGGGTCCAGTGGAGATAATAGATGTGGTGTATGTTGAAGGTGGATCCCAGTGTTGCTGCCTGCAGGCTGGGCCCATGAGATTCTCCACTGCCTGTGATATTTGTAGCTTATCATGGTTCAAAGCCAAATTTCCAGAGCTATCTGCTCTTCACATTTTGTTGGTGTTATTGGTGGGTATTTCTATGTGTCCTTGCGCCATTGGTTTGTTCTTAGATCCCGAACACCTCCCATCTGGTGTTTCTATTGGCCTGCAGGAACAGTGATCACCTACAATGCTCTGTTGAGTGCATGTGAAAAAGCGGGCCAGTGGCAGCAAGCGTTGCACCTCGGCGTTTTCTTGGCAATATCAATTTACAGATATCTACAGATTTTCTGAAGTTTAGCCTCCAGTAATCATGGAAAAATGAACATCCCAGCTATAGCAGCTCCATTCACAGGGACTTGATGGGAATTGTCGCCATGTTTGATTACCAGAGGGTAGCTGGCCCCTTTCCAGGTCTCCTGGAGGCTCCAAGTCGACGGATGAGCCGAATGACTGGTGGTTGAAAAAATCGTTGTCCATCCAACAGCAGATTGCAAGATGATTTATGGATATCTATATGGTATACCCATGTGGTATACCCATGGAGACCCCCAATTGATCAATGCTGAAAATCATCGTCAAATCCGCTTTTCGAAAGTTTCTTGGGAGGCATCCTCTATTTGAAATCACACACGCACACCCAACATCATGTTGATGCTTACCCCAGGGTAAACTAACATATATACACATAGATGTGGAAAACCCACGGATTCCCTAGAAAAATGATCTACAAATGGTGGGTTTTCCACATCTATGATCTATGTTTGTTTATATGATGGTATATGTTATACTTATTATATATGTGTATATATATATACTGTACACCATTTAATATTCTCATTATACAGTGTATAATATATATATATATATATAATATATATATATATCAATCCGCATTGTTTTGGTGTCATTGGCATCTTGAGTCTCAGGCAACTGTTGGCGTGTTTGCTTCGAAGAGAGGCACAACAGGCGGGGTTTGGCGATACATGGAAGATTGAATCAACAAAAGTGGTGCATAAAACCCAATTCGTGATAGCGATTTCCCTACAGAAGCTGTTCTCGAGTTTATTTTTTCGATATTTGCTCATGGTGGCGAAGGTTGTAGCATGGTTTGAACTGCGATATTCTCACGTACTAACTAACATATTCATTTGTCAAACTCGGGGGATTTCGTCAACAAAATCACAGATGTTTCCAAACCACAAAAAAAAAGCTGTGTTGACCGCCTGTTGGTCATCACCTCCGAGCCCCCCTCCCATTTTGAAAGTGGATGGTAGCACTGGTTCGTCCCAGTGAATGATGCGGATTGATATCATTGTGGGATATATTGTGGGATTATATATATATCATTACGATTTGTTTTTTGTTTTGTTTGGTCAGTTGCTAAATTACAAGCCATATTCATTGCCTCTTAGCACCATGTGTTATGAGTGCTGCAGGAGTCTCGATCGCTGGTGGCCAAGCTTGAGAAACTATCACCACTTCCCACAGCAAAATGCTGTAACCCCTTGGCTAAACATTCCATACATGGAGCATATGGCGAGGGCGAAATATGATATGAAACATGTATTTTGTTTGGGGATCTGTGTGGTGATTCGCTGATTTCCAAGTTGCCAACCTCTATGAGTGGCCAGGATCTCATTACCTACAACGCTGCTATGAGTGCTTGTGCCTGGATCATTAAAGTGCGACCAGGAAGTTCCTATAGATTTTGGTTTGATTGAAAGTGAAGATACCCTCTGGTAAACTAACATTGCTATGGAAAATCACCATTTTTAATGGGAAAATCAACTACAAATGGCACTTTTCAATAGCTATGTTAAATTACCAGAGGGTAACATGTGTACCCGTGATTCCAAGGCTTGTTGGATACAGTGGTCAATCTTGATTGGCCTGGCCTCCATGCGTGTATCTCTCATTCCAGCATTTCAATCTCTGGTGAGGTGCTTGTGTGAGTTGCAGAATGATTGTGATGTCATATTTATTCTTTTGAAATTGCGATTTTGGGGATGCCCAGTTTTTATCATCTCCATTTTGATTTGAAAAAACAAAACACGTGGTTTTACTATAGCAATCTATAGCATGATCTGAGATATGAGGAACAAAGACAAAGGGTTGTTCACAAAAGCAGTGCCTTGTTATAATAACACAAACTGGGAGTTGAGCAAGCACACACTTGGAATTTGATCAAACACATGCATTCTACATCGTTTAACTGATAATCAAGAATCACAAGGGCATGCCTACCATCGCCTACCCAAAAAGCAAGAGGTTTTACCCCTCTGGGCCCGAAACCTGCTCACGCATCTCACGCCAGCCAAAAGTGGCCTAGGTGAAAAGGGTGAGAACTGGCAGAAAGCATTGTCTTTGTTTCTTGCAGCACGCATAGCGACAAATTACCACCAAGTCACAACTGCTGGGTGACATGGTGTGACCGTTGGACCCCAAAAGGTTGTTTGTAAGGAATGACTCGGAATGACACAAGATGATTCTACACACTATTTGAATCGTTGAAATTGATGGAATATGATGGAATATATTATCATCATACGTAAAGAAAATTAAAGAAATAATTCCAGTGTTACAGTGATACTCACGTGTTGACTTCCCTGATTCCAGTGTATTGAGCATGTATTCTAAAGGGGCGTTACCCACACCAGCCGTTCAATACATGCAATCTGCTGTCCGTCTAGGAAGTACCCAGTTGAGACTTGACATATAGTGCCACCGTAGCCATAATTCACAGATCACGTGGAGATGTTTATTGTCTTTTTATTTTGAACATCATACAATGATGAGGGACCCAACAGTTGCAACCCTAGGCCCTTGGCCTCAAGTTTTCCTTGAGATTTTCGGGAAAACATCAACTAATTGGATCTAATTGGCACCCGTTTGCCCTGATGTATTCTTGAACATGTGTTTTTTACTCTGCAAAACATTGCTAGTGTCATCCAACCAAAAAAAATGGTGGACCTGGATCAGGAAACCTAGGGAAATCATTGTGGGCCTTGGGCAGTGGACTATGCTGTGTATCCTGGAAGCCAAGGCATTCCTCCAGGATGGACGGTTTTTTCTTTGGATTCGACCTCCAGAATCAGGGGAAATGTTGGGTTCGAAATATGTCTAGAGTGGACGTATCTTTGTCCATGCAACAAGTGTATATATATATAATTATACTAATTATATATATATACATAGTTATATTGATATACCATTATGTATGTATGTATATATATACAGTACATATTTCCATGACATTGCATTGGGCTACATTTATTAGGTGATTACTTGAACCCAAATACACATCACCAGACACCTATCTTGTTGCAGTGTACCTAGAAATGCCCACAGCATACATACTTCCCGGAGAGCATCCCCCATGGATGCAGCTGCGACCTCAACGCGAGGTTTGAGATGTTGCAGGAGAAACACTTCGAAGCCGCCGCTTGGCAGAGGATAGAACTGTACTCTGCAAAGCAACTGCTGAATGCTGTACCTACTGGGACAATGATAGTCATCCTGGAGAAGATAGAATATGGACTGTTCAAAGATATTCCCATTTTAAGAGTTTTTAAGTGATGTTTTGAAATGTCCATTATCTACTTCAGGGTGATGATAAATTGTGGTCATGTTTGATGGAGGAACGATCTCTCCTGTCAGCTGTTAAAGTCGTTGTATTTGAAAGGAGTAACGATGCTACTTGCACGCACTTCTAAATAAGACTGAAAGTACTGGTATAGCCTGACGTATTAAAAGACCACGGTATGGTTTGCCGCTTCAATCTTCTAGGACATTCATGCGTTTCTTTCCGTCACTAATCTACTATGTATCGTAAGAAGTTCATTTGATAAGTGCTGTTGGTTTCAGCCATGTGCTGTTTTCCATTCTATCCTAAGTCATATTTTGATCTTTAAGCTATTCACCATTCTCTAAATACCATTGGCACGGGTACCTGAACTGAAGAACCAACCAGTCTATGTTGTTTTTCTCTCAGGATTTGATCTCCTACAACGCATGCATCAGTGCATGTGAGAAAGCAGGTCAGTGGTTACAAGCCTTGAAGCTGTTACACCAACTGCAAGGGCAAAAACTGCAAGGCGATGTGATCATGTCACCTGGATGCAGCTTTTTCGTCGTGTGGGATTGAACTGGTCGATGATGTGTCCCGGAAAAAAGGTGAACATTCCAAGAAATGGAAAGGGTATCCCAAGAAAGTGCAATCACAATCAATCTAACAATAAAGATGTTTAAAAGCGATGGTTCATCCTTTAATGGAAATGGAGTTCCCAAATTTTGAGAGTGGCCGGAGGTACTCTTCTGCCATCTCTGCATGTGAGAAGGGCAGACGCTGGGAACGTGCCATTCAACTCCTGCGAGATCTTCAGAACGAACAGCTGGAAGGCGGGACATGAAGTGCACTGATAAATCATTTCTTGATGATGTGATTCATTCCCCAATTCCCCAATTCTGGATTGTTTATCAACATGTATTTTCAAAGTGTCTCAGCTCTAGGCTAAATATTATACATGAAGCATTTTGGTGGACGCTGTTTGGTGTTGTTTCTGTCACTTCATTGAGTACACATCAAACAACGGTGGTTGACTGGTTTGTTGGGGAAATCTGCAGGAAACCCTGAGATTTGAGGCAGTAACAACCATGGGAAATCCGGTTGTGTCAGATTTTCCCTAACAAACTGATCCATTGAGGCAATGTCATGGATGGTTGCGAAATCCTGCACCAGTTGATAGGTGGTTAATCCCATTATTTCTAGGGTTTCAACCATCCTTTTGGTGGTGCAGGATTTCTTCCATCCGTAGTAGGGGTTGAGCCCCAGGTTTTTTTTCAACTAGGAGCCTCCACAGGGCTGGTTGGTGGTTGAACATGTTTTGGATCTTGACTTTGCTCGGGACTATCACTATATTCTTATATGTCATGGTCAAGACAGAATTTGACCATAGCCCAGTTCCTGAAGGTCAATGATATCATATGATATCTTCGGCAATCTCCATTTCATTTTTTTCGAATACCCAATTTTCTGATGTTCAGATTGTTCCACGTCGCCAGGCAACGTGGTGTCTTACAGTTCAGCCATTAGTGCATGCGACAAAGGAGCGGAGTGCCTGGGTCACACTGGAAATCGCTGCTACATCATGGGCAAATGCATGTGAATGAATCCACCCAAAAAACGGGCATATCGGATAGTGTAAATATATATATATGTCTATAATTATAATGTATGTATGAATTGTATACATATATATATACACATATCAATATGATTCATTATGTACAGTACATAATATACCTTAAACTATGTATTGATACAGATGGTACCCATCCAGTTCGATGGTCACTCAGTTCACCTGAAAGTGCCCACGAAAGTCCGCCTGTTTTTTTGTTTCAAAGTAAGTCAGTCAGTCTAAAACATTGATTGATAAGTCTATTTGCGTAAGTTTTGTTTTTTCTTGAAATGGTGACTATAGTAAGTCTGCAAGTAAGTCTAGTCCATGGTTTTTGTTTAAAAGTAAGTCTAGTCTATAATGTCAATCCTGGATTAATAAACCCCTAGGCTGTTTAATTGGGTGGTACCTTGGGGGGCTATATAGTTGTACATGATGTATATATATATATTATATGTTGGATACTGATTAGTGTTGGGCCCTCCCCTCAACAAGTTTGGTCTACTCAACAACTCGGCATTTTCTTGGGGACCAGGTCTGTGGAATTCAGGATGAACAACTTAAGGATGTCAATTGAAATCAATCTACGTTCAATTGCTTTTCCTTTTAAACCTCAAAGAAATCTATTGATAAGAAAGGATTTCAATTGAAATCAATTTACTTTCAATTCATTTGAATCTACTTTCAATTGATTCTCCTTTTAAATCTAAAAAAAAATGCCCCAAATGGTTTTGTGCACAATAGGGTACCATCCAAACAATTACATTATTGAGGATCTGGGTCACTCATGGGGTACCCCCTTGAAAAATTGTTTGGGTGCTGTTTTTTAATAAGGGTTTAATAAGGCATCTAATTATCTGGGGAACCTTGCATTTTCCAGGCTTTAACATGGATATGGCTTTCTAAAGTAAATCAGCTTTACCCAAAGAAAGGTGTATAAAGGTGGATAAAGCTCCTCCTGAAAAAAAAGGATCTGAGAAAAAATATCTCACAATAGAGGTCCCCCCCCTTTCGGAAGATACTCAATAATTTTTGAACATGTTCTCACAATAGAGGCCCAGGACACCAATCGGTAGCCAACATTATATGTTACTAATATGTTACATAATGTTACATAATGTTACATATATATATACACACATACATACATACATACATACCCTGGAAATTGATGCGTGTATAAATTTCCTGTATCTTTTTGCTGTTTTTTTTCCGTGGTGTTATTGTAGAACCATTGCTGCACTCATCATGATAGACCAAGGTGGGAGCATGCCTTGTACTTGCTGCTGGAGTTGCAGGTGAATCGCGTGGAAGAAGATGTGACTCTTTGACGAGTGATTCGTTCGTTGCTGGGGTTGATTTCCAAGGCGTGTTTTAGTGTTTGTAGGACTTGGAATTCACGTTGCAGCATCCCATTTCAGGGGTTGTAGGGTGAGGTGGAAAAACGAGCGACTTTTGCATCTACGAAACACATGTTGGAGTTCTTTGTGGCTTTATTGGAGGTCACCTTACCACCAGGACCCATTTTCATTCGCCCCCGGGTTCGTAGTGCAAGGGTACCTAGTTAGAAAAATGCCTTGCTAGCTTTGAACTGGACATGATGTAAAAGGGAAAAGAATCCGGCAACAAATGCAGGTCACTTGAAAAACAAAGCCTTCGTTTCACACAAATAGACACAGATTAAAAAAATGAAACATAATCAAGACAGGTAATTCCAAATCATTCCAACGTTGGGGTAAATAAACCCTAAATGGCTGCTTAATTGGGGGGTACGCGTACCATTCAAGCTCCTTTTTTCCTTCACTGTCTGCTGTAAATGAGGGGGGTTCCAAAGTCATGGTGTACCGCCAACTCACCATGGGTTTCAGTATTTCAGTACTAAAATGGTCTAATATCATGATTTTAAAGCAAGACATTGTAAGAAAGCACGGAAACAAAGTGATAAAAAAAAAACAACCTAGTTGTTTCATATCAATAACATATATATATATACATATATATATAGATACATACATATATATACATATATGCTCCTTGTGTGCTAAATATATCTACACTCGAGGATGCAGTAATTTTGACAAATATTCCAGCATCACGGAGCATGTTCGAGCAGGTAATACCAGCATAATATACATCAGCTTGCACATTTACATGGTGAATGTATGTGAATATAATTGAATATATATATATATATACATATGTAAGATCATCATGTACATATCTAATACACATATATATATAAGGAAAGATGGATATTCCTCAGCCTGCCTCGAGGATCAGTTACAACGCAGCCATCAGCGCCTGTGACAAAGGACAGCGAGCCGTGCACTTGATGAAGGCGCATTGTTTGGGGTCGGCAGTGAAGGAGAGCTCCTGAGGATCGAGGATATTTTAGGTACCAAACATATCCAAAACAGACTTTGGATTTAACAGGATTTAACCTGTTATGTTGGGCATCTAACATATGGTAGTCATGTTAAATCTGTAAATATATATATATATGTATATGTATTCTTTTTTATGTAATATGATTTAACCTGTGATTTTAGGAGGCTTTCTGATGATTCACGGGATTTGGCACGAATCAAAGCCGATGAATTGAGCCGTGTGAAAGGGCAGTCGAGCACTAGTTTCGCCACGATTTACTTGCTATTGTTGTGTCAAAACCAGGGGTACCAGAGTGACCCGACCCATAATTGCTCACATGTCCGTTCAGGACTCGAAAAAAACATTATGAGGGAACCGCTAGGTACGTATACTGCCCCCTTGTCACGCGGAAATCAAGTGGCAAAATCAAACTTAGATGGACAAAGTGTTCGGAAAAATAAGTGGCAAAACCATGCAAAACCAACATTCATTTGTAAGCCAAACCAGTACATACTGTACGTAGTTACATATATATAGATGGCAATATTTACCTTCCAGTGGTAATCTTGATCAAGATTCACCTTCAGATGCAAAATCAGTAACCAATCCGGCAACATGAGTCATGTTACGTGATACATTATGATATTAATCGAGGACATATGTTGGGAACCTTGCGTCACCCGATGCTCATGCGAGACCGTGATATGGTAGTGGTAAGCCACCATGTGAATCATGATGAATCATGATGAATCATGTGATTTTCCCATCAAAAGTTTCTGCGAGGTATTAGTTTTACTTGTTTTGAATCATTTGCAACAAGTTATAGCTAACTAACAGAACTTCTGAAGTACAAATGTGGCCTCCACAAGATCGATCTGTGGGAATAAGGATCACTCGTGAGGTTTGTGAGTGTTCAGAGGTACCCTAGACATCCCTAAACTGGTTTTCCAGAATCTCCATGATGGTAAGTACCCCAGTTTTGATGGTCAGCCACATGTGGATGGATGAAGTAATTACTCAGATTTCCTAGACTTGGTCAAAGGAAATGTTCACAGGCTTCACCATCCTTGTGATGAAGCACAGAAAAAAATCATATGTTCCATCAGTTTCCTGTGTTTTTAAATCTCTAACAGGTCCCATTGGTTTCGCCCAAAGTCGTCGCGTTGCTTTCTCCAGTGGTTTCTCCTCACGTCCCCATGACCTCCGAACGTCGTTGCTAGAAATGATCGTTTCAGTATTGCAGCTGGATTACTTGAAAAGATCACATATATTCCCATGGTCCCCATGAAAATCATGAAAATCCCCGAAAAAAACATTTAATGGTTACTTCTACCATTATTTTAGCAGCATATGTCTACCAACTTATGTTTTTGGCTGGATTTTGCTATATAGAAAACACCAGAACTTGGATCATTGTACTCAGTACTTAGTAACCCTGGTTGGTAAGTCCACCAGTTCCTAGTTACTAACCAGTTGTTGGGTCCTCCCAGCCTTGCCAAGGACTTGGAGCAGCGACGGCTTCGAAGTAACGTGGTGACCTACAACGCGGCCATCGCTGCATGTGAGCGCGCCGTGGCGTCGGAAGAGGGATCCCTATCTATCTATCTATCTATCTATCTATTTATCTATCTAACTATACAGATGTTTTGATCTACTCTATACATCTCTATACACATGATGTTTATTTTTCGATATCCATGCATGTGATTGATGTGGTAAGGGAAAAAAACAGCAACTCTGTCGTTTCACCGTTGGAAGTTGTTGGTGAAGAACGGGATTCCCAGTGATAATCCCAAGATATCAACGGTAGGAATGACGTAAGTATCCTGCAATTCAGGGAGCAAACAAAAAATCCAAAATAAACCAGGTAGGTTCGTAACATTTCATAACCCTCTACTGTATATATATATATGTATAGTAACCAATCAACAGGGCTATTTTGAATGCCGCAAAATATCTTGCAACGATACAAAAACAGGAAGCCAACCATCCACTGATTTGGAACGTCATTTTCCCGATCTGTTGGGTTTCGTGTTTTCCCTTCACGCCTTTTTCGGCGAGACCCGCAGTTTTCTATAGTTTACCAAAAAAGAGAGGAATCAATCACACAAACAGTAGGGGTCAAAAGGCTAATATAGGCTAATGATTTTAATGCCGATCATGTTTGGATGGTCTAGGTATGGATAGATTCGAGCGACTTCACCCAGGCAAAGCTGTCAACCCTGCTGGGATGAATCGTGCCACTGAAATCTGTCATTGGAACCCCACAATTTTCACTTGTTTTTAATGTGGTTTTTATGTTTCTCTAGCCCACATGGGTACAGGTCAAATGGGACATCCCCAAAATGTGATCGTTGGATCCAAAACATGGCTAGCTTTGCGGTTCCCGACTTTCCAAATAGGACCCCAGAGTTTCCGAATCTACGGTGTTTGGTTGGTTGTTGGCATTCCTTGTGTTCACACCATGTCACACCTGCTACTTTCCGAGTATTTTCCCTGGGTCCCTAGGAGAGGAGGAGTGGCAGGAGGCCATTCATTTGCTGCAACAGCTCCAGGATTGAGTTCTAGTTGGATTTTGTTTGCCTTTTACTTGGGGGGTTCAGAAAAAATCTTTCGAGTTGAGTGCTTATCAATCCTTCCTCACTTCGCAAGAGGTAAAGTTTTTTTTCTGGGGCATCGCCAGGAGAGGCAAATGAAGGCGGATCTCATCAGTTTCAATGCAGCAATCAGTGCTTGTGAAAAAGCAGGGCATTGGCAAGGCAACCCGGTGATACCCCATGCACTCGAGGAACTTCACTTAGATCATCCCAGCACCCTCCTGGCCACAGCAGCAGTTTGATCCCATATGGGATCACAGTGAAGAAGATCATTTACGTATAAGCATATATGCGAGCGGTACCCATAATATGTAACACTTATTATGTAACTGCATATGAATGTGTACATATATAATCATATATGTATATATATATATTTATTTATTATACATATCAGTAATTAATCCCCTCCCCAATATTAAACGTCCCCCCTTCCCAAATAATAAAACCTAGGGGTAGTTTTTATCATTAGCGGGTATTTATTATTTGGGGGAGAAGCTTGGCCCTATACATCCCTATACTAAATTAAAAACCTTAATAAAAAGAAAAGACAGTAAAATTGTTGAATTCAAAATCAGTTGAATTCCTTTTTAAAACTTATTGAAATATTGCCCAAAATTGAATTTCGAAGCTTGCCCCTAATACTAAATAAATCAGAAACCTTAATAAAAGAACTTAAATTGTTGATGTCAAAATCGATTAAATTCCTTTTAAAATGTCATGAATATTGCAAACAAAAGGATTTCGAAGCTTTTCCCTAATATTAAATTTAAAACCTTAATTAAAATAACTAACATGTTTGATTTCAAAATCGATTAAATTCCGTTTTAAAACCTATTTATGTAAAATCTTGCCAAACATGGGATTTCGAAGCTGTTCCCTAATATAAATTTTAAAACCTTAATTAAAAGACTAGAATGTTTGATTTCAAAATCGATCAAATTCCTTTTGAACTATGACTATAATCAAAACATTGCGCAACGTTGGATTTTTAAGCTTGCCCCTAATATTAAATCAAATGCCTTAATTAAAGAACACATTTTTTTTCGATTTCGATATCGATTAAATTCATTCTTAAAACCAATTAAAATATTGCCACAAGTTGGATTTCGAAGCTTTCCACTAATTTTAAAAACTATTCATGTAAAAACTAAATTTAACGATTTAAAAAGACGGACCCCGATAAAAAAACACCCAGGGGATCCGGGGTTAACTATAGTTGTTATAATTCAGGAGGTAGAACCTTTAAAGGGGATCAATTAAAAATCAAATTGACCAATCTGAAATTTCCCAAAATGAACAATCTGGGGTACTGTAGTTTTTTTTATTGGGATATTTGGGGAAGTTTTAGTACAGTATATAATAGGAAGAAGGGATTGTATCATATACCTTGAAATTGAAAAAAAAATGTGTCTACTAGAAATAACTACACATGTTCGATACACAACTTCTTTTGTGCCTAAGTGGGCTTAGTTGGCTTGGATTCCAGGGAGCTTCTGGAGCATTTCCATTACCTTTCAACTGTGAGGGCAACCATCAACAGCCACACCCTGGTCCCGAAACGTACAGCGCGGACGGGCGGACGGCAGGCGCGTTGATTCTACTGGCCGAGCTGGAAAGACGCGAATTGGATTCGGATGTTCCTGGCTCGCGCCATCTTTGGGGTGCATCCAGTTAGAGGGTAAAAACCATGGAAATAATTATATGATATGGATGGACATATATGGGTTGTATATGGGTTGTATATGGGTTGTATATGGGTTGTATCTGGACTATGTAAGGGTTGTTAAACACTTAACTGGGATGCACATCCAAGTGGTGCTGGTTGCCTTGAGTTTTGCTGAGGCATGCTGATTTTGCTCATATGATCTCTCGCGTAGAAGGCTTCGTACCCGAATTTCGTATCATTCAGGTCATTTTAGGGAACAGCGAAATGGTGGCCGTTGAACACTTGGGATTGAATTTGCTGTTATTGCATTTTGCTTTACTCGACTTGGCTGATGGCAAAGCAAAAAGGGGACTTAACTGTCAGTAGTTACCAGTGTTTCTTTTCACCAGGCACGGCTTCTGTTGCTCGCACCTCAAATGTTAGCTCAAAAACAAAAGAGGCAATGCAAATGTGTTGTAGAAGGGGGTTGATAGCTTGAGTCATCTTCGTAATCCTCACAGAGGAAACAAGGGAATTTTACACCCAAGATATTTCCACGTAGAGAATATTGCGAGCAGCCTAGGCTTATGTTGACCTAGGCACAAACTCGTCAAGTCATCACAAAGTCTCTACTGCGAAGATGGTTCGGATTCTCTCCCTTGCACCCCCAAAATCACACAACAGGCTTGTGCAACCACCGACTTGAGGCTGTAATTGTGAATCATCCCATAGTGTTTACATATATATAATATATACCCTCCTTGGAATTATCTCTATAGAATACAGAACCTGGGCATACGATTCTATAGAGATGAAGTTGGTAGGCCAGTTTCTACTATAGAATGGTACCTGGATTGCGCCCATCCAGTTTTGGTAAAAAAACGTATCCAAAAATGATACCAAACTTGAGACATTGCAAACCCAGTTTTCTATTCTATAGGGGGTCTTTTTCCTGATCACTTGGACTAAGTTTTTCATTTTATAGTGGATTATTTGTTAGAAGCAGTGGCCAGTATGAGGCTGGGCTTTCATTTTATAGGAGTGGCAAAATCTTGCAGATGCCCTTTTGGGATTCACTGGGATAACAATTGGAAAGCCTTGACACAGATCTGATACATTTTGGTACATCTAGGCAATTCTAGGTAATGGCCTAAGCATCCCTGGGATACCCTGGGCAAATGTCAGAGTGCTGCCTATTTTTTTACCAGTTCCTGTGCAGTCAGTCAGGGATTCATTCTATAGGGATGGCATTTGGTAGAGTTCACGCCTCTCCACATGGAAACCCATTCTATAGGATCAACATGTCCCCTACCTTTTGCTGCATTTCTCAAGAATTTTGAAAGAATTGGGTGAAATTGGCATGACCTTTCATGAACTCGTTGCTGGCTTGGACGCCGGCTCCGGCTTCACAGACGCTGACGACCCAGGAGCTGCAGCCGGTGCACGGAGAGCCTCAGATCAGCACGCTGTGAACAGATTTCATTCATCTTCACCCTATTTCTGGCAAAACACATGAAAACCTGACAGAATCCTGCAGATGCCTTTGGGATCCTTTGGGGTCCCCCTAGGATAACACTTGAAAAGAATTGACGCGATCTGGTAGATCTAGGCAATTCTAGGTACTGGCCTAAGCATCCCTGGGATACCCTGGGCACATGTCAGAGTGCTGCCTATTCTTTACCAGTTCCTGCGAAGTCAGTCAGGAATTCATTCTATAGGGATAGCATTTGGTGCTTTTCATGCCTCTCCACATGGAAACCCATTCTATAGGATCAACATGTCCCCCACCTTTTGCTGCGTTTGTCAAGAAATCTCATAGAATTGGATGAAATTGGCATGACCTTTCATGAACTCGTTGCTGGCTTGGACGCCGGCTCCGGCTTCACAGACGCTGACGACCCAGGAGCTGCAGCCGGTGCACGGAGAGCCTCAGATCAGCACGCTGTGAACAGATTTCATTCATCTTCACCCTATTTCTGGAAAAACACATGCATATTCATGCCTTTATGTCGTGTTTAATGCCTATAAAATGAAAACCTGACAGAATCCTGCAGATGCCTTTGGGATCCTTTGGGGTCCCCCTAGGATAACACTTGAAAAGAATTGACGCAGATCTGGTAGATCTAGGCAATTCTAGGTACTGGCCTAAGCATCCCTGGGATACCCTGGGCACATGTCAGAGTGCTGCCTATTCTTTACCAGTTCCTGCGAAGTCAGTCAGGAATTCATTCTATAGGGATGGCATTTGGTGCTTTTCATGCCTCTCCACATGGAAACCCATTCTATAGGATCAACATTTCCCGCAGCTTTGCTGAATGTCTCATGAAATCCCATTGAATTGGGTGGAATTGGCACGGCCTATCATGAACTCGTTACCCTTCAGCCACTCGGCATCTAGCAGAAGAGACCAAACGTTGCTGAATCATGGTGCTTGAATAATCTTAAAGATACTTGATCTATTTATCCATGATTCAGCCACGATGCCGAGTGGCTGAAGGGTAGTGAGTTCATGGTGGGCCGTGCCAATTCCACCCAACTCAATGGGATTTCATGAGACATTCAGCAAAAGCTGGGGGAAATGTTGATCCTATAGAATGGGTTTCCATGTGGAGAGGCATGAAAACCACCAAATGCCATCCCTATAGAATGAATTCCTGAGTGACTGCGCAGGAATTGGTAAAAAATAGGCAGCACTCTGACATGTGCCCAGGGTATCCCAGGGATGCTTAGGCCAGTACCTAGAATTGCCTAGATCTACCAGATCTGCGTCAATTCTTGTCAAGTGTTATCCTAGGGGGACCCCAAAGGATCCCAAAGGCATCTGCAGGATTCTGTCAGGTTTTCATTTTATAGGCATTAAACACGACATAAAGGCATGAATATGCATGTGTTTTTCCAGAAATAGGGTGAAGATGAATGAAATCTGTTCACAGCGTGCTGATCTGAGGCTCTCCCTGCACCGGCTGCAGCTCCTGGGTCGTCAGCGTCTGTGAAGCCGGAGCCGGCGTCCAAGCCAGCAACGAGTTCATGAAAGGTCATGCCAATTTCATCCAATTCTATGAGATTTCTTGACAAACGCAGCAAAAGGTGGGGGACATGTTGATCCTATAGAATGGGTTTCCATGTGGAGAGGCGTGAAACCTAGCAAATGCCATCCCTATAGAATGAATTCCTGACTGACTGCACAGGAACTGTATAAACAAATAGGCAGCACTCTGACATGTGCCCAGGGTATCCCAGGGATGCTTAGGCCAGTACCTAGAATTGCCTAGATCTACCAGATCTGCGTCAATTCTTTTCAAGTGTTATCCTAGGGGGACCCCAAAGGATCCCAAAGGCATCTGCAGGATTCTGTCAGGTTTTCATTTTATAGGCATTAAACACGACATAAAGGCATGAATATGCATGTGTTTTTCCAGAAATAGGGTGAAGATGAATGAAATCTGTTCACAGCGTGCTGATCTGAGGCTCTCCGTGCACCGGCTGCAGCTCCTGGGTCGTCAGCGTCTGTGAAGCCGGAGCCGGCGTCCAAGCCAGCAACGAGTTCATGAAAGGTCATGCCAATTTCACCCAATTCTTTCAAAATTCTTGAGAAACGCAGCAAAAGGTGGGGGACATGTTGATCCTATAGAATGGGTTTCCATGTGGAGAGGCGTGAAATCTACCAAATGCCATCCCTATAGAATGAATTCCTGACTGACCGCACAGGAACTGGTAAAAAAATAGGCAGCACTCTGACATTTGCCCAGGGTATCCCAGGGATGCTTAGGCCAGTGCTTAGAATTTCCTAGATGCACCAAAATGTATCAGATCTGTGTCAAGGCTTTCCAATTGTTATCCCAGTGAATCCCAAAAGGGCATCTGCAAGATTCTGTCAGGTTTTCATCATCCTATAAAATGGAAACCCAACCACCCTTCTATAGAATAGTCACCAAGTATGTTCTTTTGTGGAATGGTTCCAACCCAGATCCAAAAAGTGAAACCAAACTTAAGGCATTGCAAACCCAGTTTTCTATTCTATAGGGGGTCTTTTTCCTAATCACTTGAACTCAGTTTTTCATTTTATAGTGGATTATTTGTTAGTAGCAGTGGCCAGTATGAGGCTGGGTTTTCATTTTATAAGAGCGGCAGGGGGCTGTTGGCTTGGTAGGGTTTCTATTCTATAGGGAAAATCCCCCCCCCTTAGTCCTGGGTTTTCGTTTTAGTCCCTATAGAATCAGACACCCAGGTTTGGTCCGAATTCCAACAGGGATTAATATATTATATATATATATCACTTTTATATACCGGTTTAGGCAGTCATAGGGTTGGACTTCTACATTTTTGGGGATCGAGATTTCCCCCAGCCAGTGTCCCGAGCCAGCTCCGGCGTGCAGAGTTCCGAGGTCATTACGCGCAATGCTGTCGTGGCGGCGTGTGTTCAACAGCATCAGCTTCAGCAGGCCTTGGAGGTGGTCGAGGGTGCCTGGCAATGCCGATTGGAAACGGATGCTGCTTGGAGGCAAGGAGGCACAAACATGTTGTGCATGATTCTGCATCATTTGTTTTTTTGATTGATAGGTGATACTCGGATCACGAAAAAGTGTTGGTCTAAGTTTGGATCTCATGGGTATGTTAGGCCATTTCATCCTAACTTGGGTTTATCAACCATGTGGGTATGGGTCAATACCTATAGATACATTTTTAGTGGGATGAACATCCATTTACCAGCTATTTTGGGGTTCACTAGGTACCAGGGTTTTGACCCATCCCCATGTGGGCTGAAAGCATGTCCACAATGAAAACACTTAGTAACAAAATTAGTTGCTCATTTAGGAATCTATTGTCCTTGAAACAAACAGTCTGTACTCTATCAGACACGTTCTTGGATATATGATGATATGATATGTGTTACGCTATGGCGGATTTATGGATGAATTTCCCATTCAAACCTCCATTTACAGTATAAGATATTTTCCACTGGTGGGTTTCTGATTATTTTTTGGTATGTTTTTGGTGTGCAATGATGGTCGCCCTTAGGTCATTACCGATGACTTGACCCTCGTTGCATGTGAGAAACGCGCTGCGGGCTTCCGAGCGCTACCAGTCTTGGAGAATTTGACGCGACGATCGCTGGGGCAGATGGAGAAAAAGAAAAGCAGCGGCCGTTGCCACGGGGACACGGCGACAAACAATTGGGGTATGTTGGGGTTGTCCAGAACTGGGATTTAGTCTAAAGTTTCGTTGATATTTCCATTTGGACAATTGCCCGAAAATTGTCATGTCAAAGGATAAACACATGATGAACATGATGATAATCTTGAAGAATTGGGAGTATTCAATGGCAGTTCATGTTCATCCATATTCCATCATTTTCCGACAAGCACATATTTGGGTATCCAGAAGTGCAGCGATGAATGTATGATATCCAGCTGAAAAAAGCTCACTTGGATTGCTTCGTTGAACAGGATCCCCGGACCCGCAATTGATTGAAAGAGATATAGGATTTCCATAATTCTTCCCCTTGACATCCTATTTGTATCATTTTGTATCACTGTTAACATCTATTAACTAACCCAATGAGATAAAAAATAAACAGCTACTGCTTCCAACTCCGGATCCATGATGAGTAAACTATAATAAACTTGTAAACTTGACGAGTAGACTTAGCCAGATGGCTTGTTTTTCTTAGGGAAAGTATAGAGCCTGTCCCCATAAGATGTGACTTACTAGAAGGGATCGGGGATCCCACAGAAAAATTCTGACATCTCAATGGGGTGCCGAACACCCCGGCCATGTCAACCCCAAGCCTCGCAGTAGCTCAAACGGTTGGTGGCCGGGAGCAGGTTTCCATTTCGGAGCCAGTCAGCGAAACCTGTCAAAAACCCGTGTGATTCTTTGCTAGATCAAAGGGAAGTGTCTTAGACAAATCTCAGGCATCACGATCTTATCAGTTCCCAAACTACGTTGAGCTATGTCCTCCCAATTTGGCCAGCTCTATATCGCCATCCAATGTAGGTACCTGCTCTCCATATGTCTCCATAATGTACAGTAAATCCCCAGTTCGTTCGTGGCCTTGCATACAGCATGATTTTGGCAATACAACACATCAATGATGCATGCAGCGCGGTCGGCTATCAATGAGTACAGTATATATTGTCATAATATGTCATAATATTATTCTGATTATTCTTGTTTGTTACTATTATTGTTCGTGCATAATTTCGTGATTTAGAATGGCCAGAGAAGTGCTGATTCCAAAAAAATGGGAATACACAAAACAAATTCAAAAAAACAATCCAAAAAAACAAAAAAAAGTCAGAAAACAACAAAAACAACCACAAAAACTGGAAAACATCGACTCAACAGAAGACTCAGAAGGAAAAAAAACAAGAAAAATTCATTGGCTGCGCAATGTGATTTTGAAGGACACACTTGGAAAACTTGCTGAAAAATGGAAAAACTGAGAAACGTGTACATTATCGATTACATTTGAGTCCGGAATTGAGTCTTCGGTTGAATCTTCCTCTGTTGGATCTCTGTTTTCAATTTGCTTCTTTTTCTTTTATTTTCTGAGTGCTCTGTTGAGTCTCCGTTTTGAAGTTGTTTTTATTTTGTTTCTGTTTTGTTTTTCTGATTTGTTTTTTATTTTCAGTTGTTTTTTTTTGAACTGTTTTTTTTATCCCTGAAGTTGGAGTTCTCTGAGTAATTATTTTTCACACGCGTAATTACAATAATTTACAATCATGTATATCACATTATATCACTATCCCCATAGACTCTGCCAAATCGGGGAGGAAGATGACTTTCCAAAAAATATTGACGTTTACGGTCGAACTGTGAATTTACTGGAGGCTACCATTGTGAATCATAGCTATTCGGTGCCTGCGTTCGTTGAGTGCCCCTCTCCAGGATTTGGATTGGGACGCCTCGGCGAGAGAGAAGGGTGCTTGAACAGCTGGCAGCTGGCGACTGACTTGCTAGAGTTCAGCAGGTGAAGTTTCGGTGAAGGTTTGGTCGAACTCGGTACCAGTGGGAAATGAGCTTTGAGCTAAACCAGGTATGTGACTGTGACTGTGAAAATGTAAAAAACAATGACTTACCATGTATTTCTCCCTGAACAAGTATCTAAGTGTTTGTAAAGTTTTGAACATGGGGTACCCCTAAAATCCAATGACATAAACCTCTCTAGCGCCATCATCCACCATCTCCATCTCCATCAAGCATCTCCATGATCATCATCATCATCATCATCATCATCCTCATCCTCATCCTCATCCTCATCCTCATCCTCATCCTCATCCTCCACAACCAATCCAACATAATCGAAATAATATGAATAATATAAATTATATACATATACAGATACATGAAATAGTCATTGTGGCATGATCCTTCAACCTACCTGTAGATTATTCACCTCCTTTCGTTCAAACTTGGTCCCTAGTTCTGACCTGCTGATGTCGACCGCATTCCAATGCTTTCCCTGCAGTTGTGCTTCAGAATGAAGCCCACCCGGTCTCCGCTCGTGAAAATGACCAGTGCCCAAAGGACCCCTCGTTGATGCTGCTTAGTTGCTGGATTTGTTCATGATGTTACTTCCTACTGATACTGCATATACTACTGTAACTTGTCACAAATTGTGTAATGGCAATTGTTCTGAAGCGATATCGAAATCTAAACCAGGTTCGGAGATAGAAGCGACATGGTGTTCACTGGGCACCGCTCCAAGACACTTCCCAACTGAACCAGGAGCCCACATGATGCGGATGAACTTAGAGACCATCATGTGGGTGTTTCCTAAGTCATGGGGTACCCCAAATTAACATCCAAACTACTGTAGACTATACGTATCTATACGTTGTCATTATTGTTTATGGGGAAACCATCGTATATAAATCAGATGTGAAATGGAGGACCCTCGTTCTTGAAGCATTCATTTTCTGGAATAGACAAGAGCTCTTTCGATGTGAACAATAGTGCACGATGCTTTTGATGTGAACAACAGGGCACGATGCTTTTGATCCATACCGTAGATACATGTCCATGCCTGGTTACCTAATTTGTTATTGTGGGGCACATGTCGATTTCATTGGCCGTGGTCAAAATCGAAAACCGACCTAAATTTGTCCACACTTGCTGATAATCATTTGGATTTACGTTCAAAGTCTTGAGGTACCCAATCTTGAATGCCAATATGGTGGGGTTCTTAAAATGGGGGTTTGAATACTAAAATGGTCTAATTTTTGATGATTTGGGGTAAAACCATTTTAGGAAACCTTCATATACGCATTGAATCATACATATGTAACATGTATCTATGTATATATATATGTGTATGTATACATTATTATATATATATGTACGTATATGATATAATAAATATTATATATAATTATATATATATCATATACACATATGTCTCTACATCTATATTCTTACAAAGTATATCAAACATTCTGGAAGCAGCTTCTCCACTAGCTGCATGGGACCTAAACACACTTGCCCGTCATGGCAACCTTGATGAGTGACCCCTGTGATCCTCATGTTGCTGGGTGGTAGAGAGGAATGTGGGTGACACCGCAGATTTGTCGTGATTCCATGGTCTACCATATGATCTACCATGAGAAATTGGCATGATCATCCAATGATATCCAATATCTTTTCCATTGCTTTCCTGATCAGCGAGCGGATTGAACATGGAATCCCATCGAAGCGGAGCAGGGCGATGCACCGCATGCCGAATGGCATGGAGGCAAGAGGCGACCAAAGGATGTGCCAAAGATGTGAGAGAAGATTTGCAGATCTGAATATTTTTTGTAGTGCATATATATATATACATGATTATATAATTAGTATATAGTAGTTTATATATATAATATATATATAGTGTATGTATACGTATATACATTTATGTATAGATGTACGGTATACGTATAAATGTATTCTGTAGATATGTTTTTGTATGTGTGGATAAAGGTAATTGTGTGTCCATGTACCAAGGAATATTTACCAATACGGTAACAGTCATGATCCACTCAGTCATGGCCAGTTCTGAGGCCCATGCATGGATCCGTGGTCTTTCCCAACAGGCCTGGGGCGTCCATGAGGGCGGTTAATATCTCCGGATTCCCCTGGAATGGATGACCAGCCCCAGGCTGATGATCAATGGCATTTGCTTTTGATGAGAAAAAAACGGCTTCTGTATTTGAAGAATGTTCACGAATCATATTAACTGGAACCTGGTTGCGACCCTGATTTGGAGATAGCCTTGATTAAGGAGTTTGAAACATCCAATACACTTGCTCCTTGGGTTTCGGGAATGCTTTGTTGCTGCTGGGGCTGGTGCACGTGCTGCTTTCAAACGACTTGAAGCCTGCCTTTTGTGCTTATCATCTGATGTTTCCCTACATGTTTCCCCATAATACCACCATTTGCGTTGCTAGAGTCTAGAGTCCTCCATTCTTGGTCCAAAACCCTGCCTTGGATCAGCAAATTCTGGTGATGGGTCAAGTTACCTATATGAAATCCCCATACTTTGGGGATGTTTGGGGAATCACATGCAACCATCCAACCAGCGACCTTGGAGGCATCTCCATCGGCACGTGGGCCCAAGGCAGGACTGCCGGGAAATCCCACGGTCCAAGTCCAAGGGGGTTCCCAATAGCTGGATGGTTTCATGGTTTCACATTTGGAGGTGGATGGAGTTGTTTTTTTTGCTGGGAAAATCACTATTGCTGGGGGATGCCAACCGGCATGCCATGTTTGATGGATGGCATCCCCAAACCAGATTGAGATGGAATCCCACGGCACCATCACGACTACTGGCAGTAAAATAAGTGTGTTTACATGTTTTTACAACTGAAGTAATGTTGTTAAAACAATAATAAACCACCCCCCAAATCACCATTTATATAGGTGGTATAAACCATTCCCAAATGGGTGGTTTATTATTGTTTCAACCACATTATTGTGATTTCATCAGTGAAAGATGACGATGAAATCCCACCAAACATGCGTTGATGGTGATTTGATCACGGTGCATCCTTTTCATTTATTGACCCTCTCAAAGCCCCTTTTGGCAATCTAAGAACGAAAAGCCATTGCCACGTTAGGTTTCCAGAAAATGAATGAAAATGATACATATATATATACATAATAACAACAATAATAATGATAATATATTCATGATATATGTACATATCGTAAATTGGTTTAATAATACATGTAATTATATTATATTGTCATATCTAGATATTATTTATTATATCCCTGGATTAGCATTCCAACTTCAGAACATGCTCACCGCCAAGGATCTCTATCGCTTTATCGCTACCACGTGAGATTTTCCTCTGGCACATGTCTCATCATTCTAACCCGCCAAATTCACGGCCATGTTTGCTATGTTCCATAGAACCGTGTTGATCCATCAATCGGCCTATCCAGCTCTTGAACTTTCAAATTCATCCAAGACGCTCCATGAGTAGTTCCAGACTTTTCGTAATTTCTAACTCTTCAACTTGGGTGTTTTTCTCAAGTTGGATTATAGCATTCAAGTCATTATTATGGTTTCCCCGTCTCAAAAAATAAGATAGAAACTCGGGGGATCACTTGGTGTCCCCCATGACTTAGGACCCATCCACAAAAAAACATCATCAATATTTGATTATTGATGGTTAACATCCAACATGTTAGCTACTTCAAATCACATTGCTAAGGCTTAGACTAAGTATATAGTATAATATTTTAATATATATATAATATAATATATATATATATTATATTTATATTATATTATATTATATTATAATATGTCATATGTATATATGCAATTTTGCTGACAGTGTACATAATTTCATATTTTATATTTTCGATATCCACCACATTATGAGAGTGACATATGCCAGGTTCCAACTCCACCACGAGCGTCTCCTCGGAAGGGCGAACAGGCGCTCTCTGCGTTGCAGATTCATTGGGAAATCCCTATCGGATGGAGATATAACTATACCAATGGGGATATAATAATCATCAAGAATCAGAAACAATGATGATAGATTGATGATAGTTATATTCAATCTGAAACAATGAGTTGTTATAACTGTAGTTCATGGGGATACTCTCCCAGGAGTGTATAATTAGAACAGGGTAATCCCGGAATCAAAATATGATGATTTCCGAAAAGTCATCGGGGATCCCCAGTCACCATGGTGGTTTCAATACTAAGTCATGGTCGTTCATCACTGGGATGATTTGAGGTGCCCCTCCACTACTTGGAAACCTCCAAGTGTCCTATGATCTACCCTCTGGTAAACTAACATAACTGGAAAATCACCATTTTCAATGGGTAAATCTACTATAAATGGTCATTTTCAATAGCTATGTTAAATTACCAGAGGGTATAACTATGCCTAGACGATCTAGATTCCAACAGTTCTATTTTCCAAGCCCAAGATAGTTGTGAGGGGAAAAGAACTGTACAACTTCCATGCTTGACTAGGGTTAACTTGGCTTCACCTATGACTGGAATTGCGGCGCTATATTTTGCGACAAAAAATGGATGACAAGTCCCTGAAATTTCCAGTGATGCCACTCAACCAACCAAGGTATATACATCCAGCTGCTTACCCAGCAACAATTGGGCAAAACCAATTCAGGAAACACGTCACCTAAAGGACTATCTCACCGAGATATGCCACCTGGCTGTGCGAAATGGTGCATTACCCTGCAAAACAGCATCCCATGAAAAGACCATTGACCCAATTGATATACTGTGGATATCTGTAGTAATACATGATAGATTAGATTTGATTAGATAAGATGAGATGAGACTAGATTAGATTAGATTAGATAGATATAGATAGATAGATAGATAGATCGAGAAGAGCTGGAATGATGTCAATGGTTCTTTCACTATTGTGAACCCAGTAGATGTTCCCTTCAGCTGGGGTACCTAA